TTAACAGCTTGTTACCAATTGGCTTTGGCAGAAAGCTAGGAATAGTTGGCTGCATTGCCCCTTTGCTACAAGTACAGTCAGGACATTGTAAATAAAGCAAGACTGTTTCTGCATTTCCCTCAGTCACCACAAGGTGCCCCTGATACACACTGGGCAGGGTGCTGACAGAGCAGGTTCTCAAAACCAATACATTCTCCTCTATCATATATCAAAGCACCCATTGGTACAGGTTCTCTAGTGCCAAAGGACAACATCCAGCAATTTCTGTTTTTTGTTCAGATTTCCAACATCCACATTTCTTTGTTTTTCTTTCTCACCAAGAATATGAAAAACCCTGCTCTCCTGAAAAAGCTATCTGAAAGAATGACATGGGGAGCATCACTAAAAAGGATTAGCTTCATATCTTTTTTACAGAATCCATACAGTGCGGAAAGAGGCCCTTCGGCCCAACAAATCCACACAGACCTTCAGAACATCCAATCCAGACCCATCTCCCTATAACCCACGTAACGACGCATCCCTGAACACAATGGGCAACTTAGTATGGCCAATCCACCTAACCTGCATATCTTTGGACTGTGGGAGGAAACTGGAGCACCCAGAGAAAACCAATGCAGACTCCGGGAGAATGTGCAAACTCCGCACAGACGATCACAGACGAACCCAGGCCTCTGGCGCTGTGAGGCAGCAGTGCTAACCACTGAGCCACTGTGCCGGTCATTCAAGTTTGGAAATCTGACTGCATTTTCTGAATGTTATTTCTTTAAATTGTTACTTATTCTCAAGACATCCTTAACAGTCGCATGTTTCATCATAGCTCTCAGTTCCTGCTTTTCCTATATTGGTCGCATTTCTTCATTCAATGCCCCCTTCTGGCATAGAATCATAGAATCCCTACATTGTAGAAATAGGCCGTTCAGCCCTGCAAGTCTGCACTGACCCTCCAAAAAAGATTTGACGCAGACCCAGCACCCCCACCCTATTGCTTTTACCCCGCATTTCCCATGGCCAATCACACAAGGGTAGAATCAAACCCGGGTCCCTGGCGTTGTGAGGCAATAGTGCTAACCACTGAGCCACTGTGCTGCCCGGCCACTGTGTATATGTTTATATGAACGATGTATATGTGTTACTTTGGAGCCAAATGTCATTGTTATCCTTTGCAGCAAACAGCTTTGTCCTGCATCACTGTATCATTTTGTCCATATTCTGTCAGCCTTTCGTCTGCCACAATCTACTCCTCATAACTAAACAACAGATGTGTAAACGAGGTGCATGGTGCCTCAGCACTTCCAATGGTTTGTTCAGTTTCTGTAATTGGTGCAAATTAACCTCAAGGAAGGCGCCCTAACAGTTGAATAGCCACGCTGTAAAATTACAGTTTTCCAATCACTACCTCTCACCTTACCCAGATTATTCCAATCTTTTTGCCCTTCTATTTTGTAATAGAAGATGGATTAAAATTTGTTTCTGATGGTCTTATATGATGCCAAAAGACTTGCCAAATTTTCTTTGAAACCTCAGCCCTAAACCTCTTCTCCTCCATGCAGAGCATTCAAGTGCTTGGAAAAACGTGGTGGTAGTTGTAGCCCCTTCTAAAGATGGTAAATAATCACTCATTACTAAAGGAATTTTTGGGTTTCTCCCAAAAATGAACTGAAATGGACTGCAGTCCAACACCACACCCACCCGCACCAGATAGGAATTTCACCAGTTCCCTTAGTCATGTCTCCTATTCATTTCTCCATTACCTTGTCCACTGTCACTGTCTTTTCTCTTTACTACATCTTTGTAGATTGACTAAATGTAGTTGTTATTATTTACCAAGAGCAAGTTGAAAGTATTTTTTTCCCTTATCCTACATCTTCAAGTCTATTGCTACAACTTAAAGTCTCTTGCTAATGGAGTCTCACTATGGGCCATTATGTTGTTCCTACATATTTTGACATAGATCTCACTTATTGCTGATCTTTTCTAAAGCATAGTGTACTCATCATCCCTTACTCCTGCATCCTTTATTAAAATTTTTAACCTTGAGAGGATGGATGGACAAACTGTGAAAGTGGTTTTAAGACAATTGGCCTTTTTATCCACGAAACTCCTCTCTGCTGATGCTAATACCAGCTTCTTAACTTAGGACCACCTAATACTGTAATATATGAAGTCAGGTCTTGTTAGAGAAATACTTAATGTCCAGATTGTTTAAACTGTAAATCCACTAACTTCTCAAAAAGAATTGCCTTGTCATGTCCATGTTTAGTTTAGTTGAACCTTTGTTATAATGGTCTGCTCAACAGTAAAAAGGTATTTCACACGATAGTACATTTGTGCCTTAAAAGTGGTTTACCTTAGCTTTGTTACAAAGAATCACCATTCATTTTTAGTGCAGTCAGCATGCTGTCATCCACAAACCTGAAGCAGACACAGCTCTCATCTTACTTGGTCCTTATATAAAGAATCCAGATATCATTTCAACTAATCCACTGAACACATTGTGGGTGTGCATTTACTGTCCAATAGTGCAATTAGTCTGTGACTAAAACATTAATGACTGAGCTGAAGCTTTTTGTAATTACTGCAATTCCCTCTGCCTGATCAGTATCACCATCTTGTCCTTCCAAACCTAGTGTGTCACGTGTAATATTGAACACCTTTGTTATTCCATTCATGGCAGCTCATGGTATTTTGAGTCACATCTAAAACACTATATCCCAGGCATTTCTGAGGTTTACTCTTCTGTTATAGTCACTCAATTCCTGTTGACTGTTAGAATTGTCAGAGGAACCTCTCATCCTCATTCCTTTTTGTAATGATTCCTCTTCGTATTGACACTTTTGACATGTATCTGGGCAGTCTTGCATTGGCACTATAATTGAGTTCTCCATCCTGTGTGTTACAGAATATCCCATGAGTCACACAGGCCGTTGAGAACAAACGTTTTTGTAGAATATATACTTTTTTAAAAAAAAAGGTTTTTGACATTTGTTCCAATTGTGTGCTACTTTCTGAAAATCTAGCATATGTGACTAAAACATTAATGACTGAGCTGCAGCTTTTTGTAATTACTGCAATTCCCTCTGCCTGATCAGTATCACCATCTTGTCCTTCCAAGGAGTCTATGCATATTTGACAGTTCAACACAGTCCATAAATTTAAAGGCAAGCACGGAGTTGGGCATCTCTAAATAAACTTTGGTCAATCTTGAATGAGCATGTTAAATTCCATTTTATGAGGAATAATCATCTGGCTTTCCAAATAAATGAAGTACATCCATGCCTTGCATGCATTTAAGAGGTCAATTTTCTTACAATTTTGTCCAGAAACATTACTGGATTATTCAAACCTTCATCATTGTCCAAAACTTGGGCTTCTTGCTCTGAGAATAGTTTACGTTTATCTTGCTCCTGGTAGCAAATGACAGTGATATGGCTGTACTTTTTTGTTTGTTTTGGCAAGGTAATAGCCTGTATCCATATACCCACTTCACTTTTCCCACTGATCATAAGGTTCAGCTTCATGCAAGTTAGTGAGAAATTAGATCCTAGCACTTTACACTTTACTTAGCCATTCTTCTCAAAGATAACTTAAATGACAACCTTCAGTCTGAAAAGAACTCTTTATTTCTAATCATCACCTTTAGGCAACCTTTCCCTGCCACCAATATCAATTCAGATTCAAGCCAGTTGATGACACAGAAACCAAGACACCGTTTTTTGGATAGAGTTTAACAACTACTCAGGCTGCCAGCTTCTTCCACACATTAATCCCACTTGTTTTCCCTTCATAACGACCCAGTCAACTAAATAATCAATTATCTCAATGCAACAAGTATTTAAACAGATAATCAACAGTGGATTCCCTTTCGTACAAAATTCAGCCAAGCAGCTGCCAGAAATTGGGTCCTCAGTCATGCTCACACAGACCTGGTTAATCCCATTCCTCAGACAAGGAGCATAGAGGTCAACTGTAACTTCCCTTCAACATTTCTAGCAGACATCTGCTCACTCAGCTTCACATATTCAACATCATATTCAACTTCTCTCTATGTTTCCACTACATACTATTCTCAATCATTAATCCATTAGAAACAAAGTACTTACATTTTTAAGATACCTTTTTTCTCCGCTTAGGAGACTTCACTGCATTTTATAGTTTAATGCAATATTTATTGAAACAGTCACTGTTGCAACGTAGGACATAAGACATTCAATTTGTTTGCAGCAAATAGTAAAAGGATAATATCTAGGTCCCTTGGTTTAGATGTTGAATGAATATTCATATTGACATGAACACTAGGTATTCTCCTCTGGTTGTCTTCAAATCGTGCTATGGGTTTTGTTACCTATACCAATCGGAGCTTTTATGTAGCCTCTCATCCAAATTTCAGCCTTATTGGTGGCACTGCATTGAAATGTCATCTAAACTAATAAGCTCAAGTCTATGGAGTGAGACTTGAATCTACAATGTCTGACTCACATGAACAGTACCAACTAATGGCTCATAGCTGGCATCTATGTTCAGTCTTCCTCAAATACTGTGTTGAAAAAAACTTTAGAGAAGCCAAATGTACAAACTTTAGTGAATATTCCTGAAGTCGTTGAAACAAAATGAAGCTCGACTGTGCTAATAATTGACTGAATGGAGATTAATTCGTTCCTATCTGTAGTACTGATTTATTTAAGTAAGCCAGTTTTTACAAGGAGGAATATAAAATGGAATTTAAGAGACAATAGTCTGGAAAAAAAATCTATTTGGAGATTCCTAACTTAACACTTGCCATTAAAATGCTGGACTGTGCTAAGGTGTTGGACATGGAAAGACTCCTAATATTAACTGAAGTTGAACTTTCAGAAAGAAACATGCTTTTAGAACAAATGACAGAAGCCTTTTAAACAAAAACACACACCTGGGAAACCATTCACTCCCAACAGCCTTCATGACTCATATGTAGTTTTGCAGTATTAGATGCAAGATTCTTGCATGCACCAGTCTTTCCCAAATGAATTGTAACTCAATGTTTCAAGTTAATAAAAGTGTATTATGATACAAGTGTCGCCAACTCCTAACCAACATTGAACTCGCACAGCGGAAAATACTTTGCAGCTGGAATGTTGAATCAATAAGGATTTAAGTGTGAGGTGACACTGGTGCCCTCATTGGCATGTTCGACCAGCTAAAAAAAGAGTTTACAATATTTTCAGAAAAATTACCTTTAGTACTGAGGGGTCCATCCCAGGAAACATTGCAACTCGTGGACACTGTGATATTGGAAGCTTCTGGGGTCTTACGACCTCCTCGTCAACCAATTCTTCATGTGCACTTGGCCTGTACTCTGATGAGGGAAGTTTAGAGAAAACAGTAATTCACACATGACAATAATATTTCACTTTTTACATTCCCCATTTCACTATCGCTGGCTAATCGGTAGGCAGGTGACATCATGTGTGACTCCTTGTCCTCAACACATTACTTATGTCTGATTGTGGACATATTAGCAAATTACTCAATTACAGGGTCATCACAGTTGAGCCAGATCCTGCTGTCACCTTACATTCACACACGCATTTCGGACAAGGGTAACATGTCAGGAATCCTGGCCTTTTATCCCTCTCCACTTCTAACCTAGAGACTGAGGCCAATTGGAACACCTCATTGCTGCCTGGGCTAAGATCAGCTGATAAAAGTTTATGTATTGACCAGGCGTATCACTGGTCTCTATTCCCTCCCACATTCTTTGAGCCATAGAGGAAAACAATAAAAAAAGCTCAATTTTGGTTTGATTGTTTGGATTTGTGTTTTTCCCTCCTTGTGCGGATACAGTCAGCCTGTGCCAGCTTCCATCTCAAGATGGCATAATTGAGATCTACTCTACGGAGAATAACGAATGAACCTCTTTCTGGTGCAATGGTAGGAGCTCCTCAGTGGTGCTACACTGGCAACCAATCACAGAACTATTCCTCCACCATCACAATGCTTATATCCCAAGTTCCACTGTTTCTGTTTCTCTACAAGTATCCTCACTGTCCCCTCTCAGTGACGCTGACTGACTGTCTGTCACACTCCACTCGCTCCACTGTGGTGCCAGCTGCCTATTACACCTCACCCGCTCCTCTTTGCATTCAATTAGAGATGCTCAGATTAGCAATCGTACAGCAAATAAAATCAAACAGCAAGGAACCTACACAGATCATAGTGCCTGTGCCTTCAAAATTTCTTTCATCAATATATATCCAATCCAGATCACAATACAATTTGTGTAAATTCACTGACTGCTGTAACACAAACAGAATTTCTCAAAGTGCAAAGAACCAAGTTAATGCTACAGCATGACGGCCTATCGTCAAAAATTCTGATGAAATGTCATCAAACTGAAATGTTAACTATTTCTGTCTCCATTAATGACCAAAAGATGTAGGGACAAATGTAGGACATTCAGCCCATTGAGTTTGCGCCAACATTCACTGAGGTCATGGCTGAGCTGAAAATCCTCAGCTACAATTTCCTGACATTTCCCAATAACCTTTTATTCCCTTAATGATTAAAAACATGTCCATCTCCACCTTGAATATACTTAATGACACCGCCTCAGCAACCCTTTGCAATAAAGGATTCCATAGTTTTACTACCCTCCGAGAGGAGAAATTCCCCCTCATCTCAGTCTTATTTGTGTGACCTCTTATTCTGAAATTATGGTCTCTGGTCCTAGACTCTTCCACAAGGGGAAACAACCTATCAAGTCCGAGAATGTTGTACTTTTCAATTAGTTCTCTTCTCATTCTTCTAAACTACAGGCCAAAACTACCCAACCTCTGCTTAAATAATATTCCTTCATATGCTCATGAACCTTCCCTGGATTGCCTCCAATACACCTTTCCTCGGATAAGGAACAAAAACAATTCACAGTATTCTGGGTGTGGTCTAACTAGCCTTAGATTTGTATAGTTTTAGCAAGACTGCCTTATTTTGTATTCCATTCCCTTTGAAACAAAGGCCAACATTCCATTTGCCTTCCCTATCACCTATTGAATTTGGGTGTTAACTTTTTGTGAAGCTACCTGATTTGCTGAATATTTCCAGCGTCTGTCCTATTTTGATGTTGTGCTTGTTTTGTGCAGAGAACAATCTAGACAGAATCAAATAGATCTACTGCGACTGTTCTCAACTAGTAAAACTCACCCAATCTCTCATCCAGTACAGTGCTGACTTACCTGTGGAATCTTTATACATCCAGGAATCATCGTTCCCTTGGACGAACTGGTCCGTGCCATCAGGTTGGTCTCCAAAGCCTGATTTCTTGTGCTTTGTTGGTGCCCGACGTAAAGTTTTCCTGCCAAGCTGTATCCGACTCTTCTGAGCATAGCTGTCCAGTGTGGTAACGGGCTGGGGGAGAGAAATCGGAAAAGAATGCTGTCAAGGTTCAGTCTTTCTCCCCCAGTATAAATTATTTTGTGCTCATTGCTATGAAGGGCATTAATGTGAACACCATATCAAATTTCTCAATTAAATATCAACGTCAAGCACTCTCACGCAGGAAACAATGTTGAAGACACCCAAAGGATCTTTGGCTTTATGGAAATATGAAGTTAAAAAGAGCTTATGGTAAGCCACCATAAAGCACTGGTTAGCCCTTAGCTAATTGATCAATTCTGGGCATCACATTTTAGGAAGAAGGACTTAGTCAAGGCCTTAGGAGAGATTTACTAGAGCAGAATGAGGGATGAGGAACTTCTGTAACATGAAGAGAATAGATTGTACTACATTGAACAGAACGTTAACAGAGAAGATCTGAAGATTTAGAAATATCCAAAATCATGAATAGCTTTGACAAAATAAATTGGGGGAAAAGTCTTTTCAGTGGCAGAATGGTCAGCCCAAAGGGGACGCATTTACAGAGATAGGCTGGAAAATTAGAGGTGACACAAGGCAAAACATTTTTAAACAATGAATTATGATGATCTGCAATACTCTACACTGCCTGACAAGTTAGCACAAGTAGGTTCAAAACAGGCTTGAAAAATACAAGAAGAGAAATCATTTACCCAGCTGTGGGAACGGAGAGACAAGTAGCTCCACTTGATAATTTCATTCAAATAGCTAGCACACGCTTGATGGCTGAGTAACCTGTATCTGCATAATCTTGTAATTTTGTATTTGTAAACAAAAAGACTAGCAAATATAGTACTTCTCATTACCACTGGACATCTGAAAGTACATTCCAGTGAATTAAGTACTTCTGAAGTACAGTCACTATTATAAAGTAGATAAGCAAGATCCCACAAAAAGCAATGGGACAGTGACCAAAGATACTGTGTTTGCCATGTTGATTGGGGGATAAATAACAACCAGGACACTGGGCACAATTACCCTGAATTTCTTCAATATGGCACAATGAATTTCATCTCCATCTAACCAAACAGGAACCCTCACACAATGCAACACTGCCTTGTTATTGCATCAGAGTCAATTTGATTTTTATTCTCAAGGCCTAAAAGTAGGACTTGAATCCAGACCTAGGTGTTGCAGGAAATATTCCACTAGGAACATTCACAGTTCTTGACTGGCTAAAGGAAAGAGTTTGTCTCCCTGTAGGCATTGTACCCCGTAGTCTTTGGGGGTGGATTTGGATCCAGTGGTAAGAAGAAAGATGTTAACCTCTATATCAGCCTGTCTCCAATTTAGCAATAAAAACTAAATGCTCTAGGTATACTTAACCACTTACTGTATCAGATATTCAGCCTTTTCTGTATTCCCACTGCAGCTTATTAAAACGTTTGTCCTCCTCAACAGTGCCAGACACTGAACTACCTTCTAATGATTTAGCGTAATATCTGACCCACCATTTGCTTTTACAGCTTACTCCGTAAATGCATTACTTGGTGCTGGGCTACACAGACCTGAATAAGTGCTGCCAACTCCAAGAAGATTAATCTCCAGGACATTGACATGGGCATTGCAAGAGAACAATCATTGGGGCATTAGGAAGAAAAGTGTATTTGTTTTTCATTTTCTTTGGTCACTTTTGTTTATTCGTTCTCAAAATATTGGAGACAGGAAAAGGCAGGGTTGGAGGTAGAACGTTGTGTCCAGGAAGATATCCAATCAGAATTGTGTTCAGTTAATTGATCTCAGCAGGCCATCAGTTCGGGCACCATAGATTGGGGTGGGTGACATAAACTATAGTTTCTGCGACTGATTCTACTACAGTTCAATGGGTCTAAAAATGGTTGATGTAAACTCTTCTTTTACTTTGGACCCTCTAGTATACCAGCATGGTGGCACTTGCTTTCTGCACACACACATGAAGAATTCACAGCTGGGCAATGTATCAGAGGGCCACTTGTGTACATACACTTGTCCAAACTGCAAAAGGATAGGAAGGGAGAAAAACTGAAATAAAGTTCATCTTCCAGCATGTCTAATTTAAAGACTGCTTTTCTATTCTATTATAGATGGGGATCCAATTAGCTCTGCAAGTACCTGTAAGTCCACATACCACTTGAGACTGGTATCGGAGTTTGACTGCTTCCCAAAAGAGAAAAAAAATAGAAAAAAAACAAAACAGCAATCTTAGCTGTAATCAAGTACCTCAAATTACCAACCACAGTACGCAGGCAGTAAAATCCTGGTATTGTGCTGACTATCCGGGCTTTCCTCTAGGGACTGATGCTCAAAAGCTACAAGGAAATGTTTTTGTGCTGAATCCTATAAGAGAAGGTACCTCCAAAAATGAGAATCCCTGGGGAGTTGGACAAATTTGCGTAGATGGATCAGTGGACTGGAGACTGTCTGTATCATCTGGCGATTCCAATTCACAGCTTGAAAGGCCATAATTGATATTTCTTGGGTCCTGGAAGAAGCTCGGTTGCTCACTGGAAGGGGTCATCTCTGACTGCGAGGATAACGATGCTCGACTTCGCACATGTTCCTTTCTGGGGGATGTAGCCGGAATGGAACTGGATTCCTTGTAGGGTGACAATGGCTTATAGCTGTAATTCAATAAAAGGAAAATTGGTCAATAAGAAATTTATTGAGCTTCTGTTTACGTAGCTGAGTTGCAGGAAAATTGTTACTCTTTCTGAATCCAACAGTTTGAAATTTAAGTCAATTTCGGCCTTTCCAGATGACAACAAATCTCGGAATGGAGTGGAAGCTTTGAGAAGCTCTCTATGACTTGTGCAGTTTCTGAAACACATTTCCCACTAGCTTAGTTTTAAGGCGATACTCCAGAATGAAGTTTACCACTGCAATCCTTTTGAGAATTATTTCATGAACAGTAAAGTGACATTTAGGCTTTCTCCCCACCCATATACTGTTTACTCTGTTAACCTGGATGTTGATCCTTTGTTAGATATGTTGTCATGGTTGCCAGCAATCAATGATTCGCTCAGCCAAGTGACTATTCTACATGTACAGGCCTGGAGTGGCAGAAAGTTTGGATGTGGAGGATTATTACAGTGAAGCCTGATCACAAAGAAGAATTATATTTCCCCTTATAAAAATTACAACAAGATCCTGGAATCCTAACTTGGTTTTTCATGATTTCTTGTCCAGGGTGTTGTTGTAGCAGCTCAGCTATTCACACCAAGATCAAATCAAAGACTTTATGGTTTGTTTGACAACGCCTGAGGGATTTTAAAAATTCATTCTAAAGATGTGGGCGTTGTTGGCTAGGCCAACATTTATTGCCTATCCCTAATTTTGACAATTATAAAGTACCAGGAGTCCAACCAAGACATTTTCAGGACTGCGCTCCATTTCCTCCTCACAATACTCACGTAAAATTCATCAACAAGGAGATCCAACATATAATATTGTAGGTCACCATATAACTGGTAATGTTGCATTAGTGCATTTCTGATTGGCAGACAGGTCCATTAACTCACAGGAGGCTATGCAGGAATGGTGCACGTTAGTAGGAGATACTCAAAATACACAGGATAGTGGGTAAATTCATTCCCCAAAAGTGAACTTTCCCAAGCAATCACAGGGATGGCCAGAGAAAAGTCACCCTATAAATTGGATGGAAACTGTGAGGAGATGCTCTTCAAAGCAGAGTCCGGTTCTCTCTCAGATTTAATGTTCATAGGCTCATAGTACACCACCAGCAGACAATGTAGGAGAGAAGCTGCACAGGGCAGTGAACAGTGGCTGCAAGCAAAGCTGCTAGGCCAGGGGTGGTGGGTCTTCCAGAGGCAGAGGAAGCGAGGCTGGAAGATGTGGGTAACCAAGGCCTGAGGCAGTGTGGGCTGCTGAGGGTGAGGCTGGGAGTCCCTGTGTGGAAATCAGACTGGGGAATGGGGGACAAGTAAGGCTGCAAATGGAACAGCGGAGCTGCAAAGGAGATAGAGGGGGTGGAGCGGGGAGTTGAGAGAGAGAGAGAGAGAGAACAAGAGCAAAGACTGTGAGGAGCAAGAACAAGAGAGTGCGCAATTTCACATCTTTAAAAAACAGAATAGTTAGCGAATTAGGTATCAGAAAATCTTAGTCAGTGATGTAATTAATTCATTGTTAGTGAAAACAAAATGAGTCTCTAGCTTAAGCCTGCAGAAGTTCAGAAGCTACCATATGGGGCTAAAATGCAGTGAATGCTATTGGAACGAACAGTGTCAACTGGATCATTTATAATACTGAACAGTTTTATTGAATAAAGATTTGCGCCTATGCGATATCACATCTCAAAAAGGCTTATACCCTGGTGAATTACTTCAGATGCACTAACTGTGAGACAAACGTGCAACTGTTCAGTGTAACCTCATCAGTTGATGGAAGGCAGGTTTAGGCTGCTGGCTTTTATACTTCAAAGTGTGTCAGCTTTTTTCCAAACAGCATTTGTTGTGAACTTATGTCTGTAATGTTGAAGTAGTGTAGTGTCTAGGAAATAACTTCTCCTCCTGTGTTGTAGTTATAAGTTTAATGGAGCGATGATTTGAGTATTGATGAATTCTTTGGAGTCTGAATACCCCAAATATCAGCCTAAATACAGAAGGTAATATGAATACATCACCTAATAAAGGAGTTGGGGAGAATGGAAAAATAGCTCCTGAATTCAAAAGTAATCCTCGAGAAAATCTGAAGAGGAGTAATGACAATAAAGCATGTCCTACTACCCTCCCATAACAGCTAGGTCAGCAGAGTAAAACACTTGAGCAAACCAAGATTACTATTAGAATCAGGCAATGGCTTCAAACCATGGTTTCACAATGAGACAGGACTTCAATCACGGCTGATGGTTCACGGTTTCAAGTTTTCAGGTATTTCTGCAATTGCTTTTTTTTTTGAGATCTTACTTTTCTTGCTGACTTTGTTTGTGCTCCAGGTATTTGCAGTACGGATCACCCTCTTCATTTGTGCTGGACCCTCTCTCGTCACACGTGCCATATTGTTCCCTCTCATCAGAGCTGCAAAACTGGTCTCTCTCTTGTACTAGGGCATCAGTGTCCTTCGCCTTTGTAGAGGGGCTTATACAGCATTGTGTCACCCTGTCCTGAAATACAGATGGAGAGGGTTAACAGAGAAAGAACTAAAATATACCACTGCTTTACATAACAACTACAACATAAAATATAGGGCATTCAGCATAACAGGTTCATGCCAGTTTTACCCCATCCAACCCCAGCATGCAAAAGTTGCACCTCCATGACATATTCTGACAGCATCAGGCCTAGTCTCTGTAATTCTGCAACTGGGGAGCACTTGTTTGGCACTGTTGTAAGAGCCAATTGACCAGAGAATGAAGAGCTCCCTTCTGAAGCACACAGCACAATTCCCACAAAGTGCTCACAAGACCCTTATCTTCAATTCAGATTCATCAGGAGTGGATGTGAAGTAGGTTGGAGAGGACATGTCGCTTTTTTAAAAATTTACAAGAGGATGACTGAATAGAGCAGAACTATGATCTGAATATCTAAAAATGTGAACACAGTAGCCACACTGTTATCAAACTCATGTTCAATTGCAAAAACCCAAAAGGAATGAATACCGTGTGACTAAGAAAGGCACCATTCATTAAATAGCTATCTACCTACTAGATGCATAGCAATTTATACAGTGGCTCAAGCTTGCAAATTGTTGGTTAGTTGCAAACCGTCCTCTTTTACTCAGTGTGCATTGGGTCTCGTCTTCCCTACAATCTTCTTTTCTCCTTTCTTTTCACACTTCAAGACAGCTTGCACATATAGACACAGAGGTGACCTGCCTCCCTGAGTAAATAACATGGCCTTACTGTTATCTCCTTGCCTTGGATCATGCAGTTGTGAATCGTGATCTTCCACAACAGGCTCCTTGGCCTCCCAGGTGGTCTGTACTCTAATTCCATCAGGTTGCTTTCATTTTCCCCTCAGAGTTTAAATCCAGATCAACAGGAATCAAAGTTTAAAATAACTCTTGACACTGAGAATCCATTGAAATCACACTTCCAACATCTTTGACTCAATCAATTATAATATGGAGGTGCCGGTGTTGATCTGGGGTGGACAAGGTCAGAAATCACACGACACCAGGTTATAGTCCAACTCATTTATCTGAAATCACAAGCCTCAGTCCTTTTTCAGGTGTTAGTAAGAGAGATAGTATCAGACACAGAATTTGTAACAGATCAAAGGATCACACTACTGATAAGGATGTATTAAACAAACCTGAGATGCAGTTAAATCCTTAATGAGTTAGAAAGTTATAATTGATTAATATGTACATGTAAATCCCCGAATTGCTTTCATGTCACTGTCCTGAGAGAACTAAAGGTTTTATGAGTGTAAAGACATTTTAGGTCAGACGATGCAAGTTAGGTGTGAGGACTTGTTTAGAATCTGTCTGTGTTTCGGTTTGGAGTCAGACTGGTTTTATATGTAAAGTAGAAATTTATAAAACACCACATTGACCGACTATCTATAAATTGTGTGTGTGTGTGTGTGTGTGTGTGTGTGTGTGTTGGGTAAACATCCTCCAAAAAGGTGGACTTTGGGATACACAACAATGCAGAGTTGCCGAGCAGAGGCCAATAGCCAACTTTGGTACCCATGAGGACAGCCTCAACTGGGATCCTGGGTTCATGTCGCACTACAGGTGACCCCACTACACTACCACACACACACACACACACACAGGCTTTGAACAGAAGGTCAGTGAAACCATATCACCTGTACCCACGGTCACTGCTGCAGGCATCAGACTGGCCTTCTTGAGGGTAAACCCAAGGAAAGCAACCGGCTCAGATGGAGTCTCCAGCCGTGAATTCAGATCCTGTGCGAACCAGCTGCAGGAGTATTCACTGACACCTTTGATCTGACTTTCCTACCTGCTTTAAGACCACCACTATCATCCCAGTGCCAAAGAAAAGTCACGCAATGTGCCTCAATGACTACCAACTGGTGGCTCTGACCGTAATTATGAAGTGCTTTGAGAGGTTAGTCATGGCTCACATCAACTCCAGCCTCCCAAACTGCTTTGATCCTTTGCAATTTGCCTATCAGTGCAACAGGTCCACAGCCAACACTATCTCCCTGGCCCCACTCTCATCCCTGGAATATCTGGATAACAAAGATACTTACACCAGGCTCCTACTTATTGACTACAGCTCCATGTTCAATACCATAATTCCAAACAAACTCATCTCCAAACACTGAGACCAAGGTCTTGTCTCCCCTCTCTGTAACTGGATCCTTGACTTCCTGATCCACAGACCGCAATCAGTAAGAATAAGCGATAAATCTCCTCCACGACAATCCTCAACACTGGTGCCCCGCAAGGCTGCATACTCAGCCCCCTACTGTGCAGCCAATTCTGCCCCAACTCTGTTTAGGTTTGCTGACGACACCACTGTTGTCAATCGGATCTCAAACAATGACGAAATGGAGTACAGGAAAGAGATGGAGTGCTTAGCGGCACTGTGTAAAAACAACAATCGCTCCATCAATGTCAACAAAACGAAGGAGTTGGTCATTGTCTTCAGGAAGCAGAGTGGAGGGCATGCCCCTGTCTGTATCAATGGTGCTGAGGTGAAGATGGTCGCGAGTGTCAATTCCTGGGAGTGATGATCACCAACAATCTGTCCTCATCCACCCACAATGATGTGATGGTCAAGAAAAAGCAACAACGCCTCTACTTCCTCAGGAGGCGAAGGAAATTTGGCATGCCCACAGACTCTCACCAATTTTTATAGAAGCACCATAGAAAGCAGCCTATCTGGATGCTTCACAGCATATTATGGCAACTGCCCTGCCCAAAGACAGCTAGAGATTACAGAGTGTTGTGAACACAGCCCAGGCCATCACACAAAGCAGCCTTCCATCCACTGACTCCTTCTATACTTCCTGCTGTCTGAGGAAAGCAACCTACAAAATCAAAGACCCCACCCAACCTGGTTATACACTCTTCCACCCTCTTCTGTCGGGTAGAGGATATAGAAGTTTGAATACATGTACAAACAGATTCAACAACAGCGCCTTCCCTGCTGTTATCAGATTTTTGAATGGACCTCTCAAATGTTAATGTTAATGTCTCTCTCTCTCTCTCTCTCTCTCTCTCTCTCCCCACCTTCTGTGTGGTTCTAACACTGCATTCTGCACTCTGTTCCTGCTACCCCAATGCACTTTGTATGAATGATCTGCCTGTAGAGCATGCAAAACACTTTTCACTGTATCTCAGTACACGTGACACAATAAATCAAATCAAGTCAAATCAGACCTCCAGCATCCAGTTCATTTATTTTATTGTAGCATTTTGTTCTTCTGTCAACCTGAACTGCCACAGTTGCAAAACCTTGAAGTCAAATGGAATAGTGCATCCTTGCAAAGCCAGCTCTTGAAACTTCTACAGGCAAGAACACCAACAGGCCACCAGAGGGAGAACGTACACTGCAAAGACCTCATTAAACAGTGAAGTCTTCCCAATGAGACCTCAGCTTCTGGAACCAAGATGTTCGTGCATCCATTTTAAGGATCTTAATGAAGGGCTTGGAGCCATGCCTGGACATATGGTTGACGCAATATGTTACTTTCTACTTCATTATCAGTGCTTTTATTTAAGGCAGCCATAAATAAGGCTTATTATTATCTTGGGAATGAGGAAGCAGAGAACCAAAAGCAAAACATAGCCTAACAGGAGTAAAATTTAAAATATTAGAGTGTATTTTCAGGGGTCTACCCGAGAAGTATTGACACAATAGGTAAATAGTGAACATGATTTAGGAAAGACAGACTTGCATTTGTATACCCTTCAGTGGATAATCATGTAGTTATGAAGTATAGTCACTGCTATAATGTAAGGAATGTAGGAGCCAATTTGCACACAATAAAATCCCACAAGTGGCAACGAGATAATGACCAGTTATCATGTTTATAAGGGAAATATCCTCCACCACAAATAACCTTGACTTTTAGAACAGATAACAGACTGTGGAACTCCCTCTGCAGGTTATTTGGAGTCTTAGAAAACATTTCACCAAAATTCTACATGTTAAATAGTTCTAGTTGAGTTAAAACTACAGACATTTTCAATATATTTTTCCAACAAAAAAAACAAGCAAACAGTAAAACAGGAAGAGGAAGGAAAACAATAAACAGCAAGGTGGACATAGTGATTTTGATTATTAACTGATGTAAAGATCACTTCCAACAAGTAACATAAATCAGTTGCAAAGCAGGTAAAGAAACAAAGGATTTACAGTGGGGGCTTCATAAAAAAGGGCAGGGAAACAGAGAACTTGAAAGGTGGGTTCTAGCTTGTAATTTCCGATTTCTGGGTGGGCCTGGGCTAAAGAGAAAAGGATGGGAGTGATCTGCTAGGATCCTTGTTGCCGAAAATTCCAATAGTGAATGATACTAGAAAGTTCATCTATGTGGGTGCTGCATAAGGGCACAACTGGACTCAGTTGTGATGTGAAACCCCCTATAGCAAGCACAATACTGGCAGTGTTCACAGCCTGATTTTGTAGCTGAAGAATGACGACTTGGTTCTGGCAATGGAAGACAATGCTACAGAGTTATGAAAAGTGGGAATGTGTGACTGAGTACAACATTTCTATCGGAGTCAACGTGGGAATTGTGGGACAGGGGGCGTCCTCCTTTGATTCCCTGAAGACATGCTGCCACTCCAGTGGTACAATATGCTGACATCACCTGCCAGTGTACTAACACATTACAAATATCTCGGGAGGGAACGGCCCAACTTCACATCACATCTTCAGATGAGGAAAGGAGAAAATTCCCAGAAATGCACAATATTAGTTGCTGAACACTCTGGACACAATCTGTATAACTAAAATGTCCAATAGGTCTATGAAACCTAACTGCAGTGCAATATTCCAATGTGTTAATGGTGCTATATAACTCAGATTGTAGTTGAAATCAAAGCAGCAAATAAAAAGGTAATGAAGCAGAAAGACTCATACTAAATGTAAATACTGTAGGCTGAAGCTTACACACCTCGTGATCTTCAACTTGAACATTCGTGAACAGCAGGCGTTATCTCATTGATTCTCATAAAAGT